AGCTCTGCTAATTTTGGAAGTTTTGCCAATAGAACACGCCGTTTCCATATGACCATTAAACTACAAGGTTTTAAAAAATATATTCAGAGTGGTCCAAAAGTAGGTATACACTTTATATTTTTTTAGGGCACCTCGAGGTGGTGTAATGGTTAGCAAGCTTGTCTCGCTAAAACAATTACAACTGAGTAGTGAGTTCGATCCTCACTGGGTGCCACTACTTTCGGCCTTGTGGCACATCTAAACTACGCTTGGAAAATCACTACATTTTACATTTTTTTTTTACATTTTATTAAATATATATTTATTTGTCTATATTTCTGAGATAAGGTATTATGTACAGTATTTACATTAGTCGGACTATTGTCCTCATCTTTGTCGCCATATTTGTCACAACGTTTCGGCCGTTGTACGCTCCGGCCTTCTTCAGGTGGTTGGAATTTCGAACTGAACCCTTTATTTCGATCACTGGGGTAGACTGTTCTAGTTCCGCGTGCCATGTTTGATGGATGTCAGTTATCAGTTATCTCCTGCTAATTTTCCCTCTGAAAGTTCTCCACTGCCTTAACCAGGTATTGAACTCACCTTCTTTGGGATCTAACCAACGCCTTCATCCACTGTGCGGAAACGTTGTGACAAATATGGCGACAAAGATGAGGACAATAGTCCGACTAATGTAAATACTGTATATATTTATTTGTTCCAATTACATTTGCTTAAAACCGTTCAACCTCGTCAGTGCTCGAACTGTCTTCCTCCTACATTGCAACATTCATGGGACCTCTCCAGAACATTGTGACACACAGTGCGAGACAAATTCCCATCCGCATCAGTGTCAATAAACGCTTTCCAAGATGAACTCATGTAATTCGTCCAATATGTGGGGATTTTTCTCATAAACAATATTCTTTACTATGCCCCCGACAAAAAAAAAAAAAAAGAAAAGAAAAGAAGTCCATTAGTGTTTGACATCCAATAAACATGGCACGTGGAACTGGAACAGTCTACCCTAGTGAGCGAAAAAAAAGGGATCAGTTCGACATTTCAACCACCTGAAGAAGGCCGTAGCGTACAACGGCCGAAACGTTGTAATAAATATGGCGACAAAGATGAGAACAATAGTCCGAAAAATGTAAATAGTGTACATAATACCTCATCTCAGAAATATAGACAGATACTGAAGGGCTGAAACGTTGTAATACATATGGCGACAAAGATGAGGACAATAGTCCGAATAATGTAAATAGTGTACATAATACCTCATCTCAGAAATATAGACAGATACTGAAAGACGGAAACGTTGTTATGAATATGGCGACAAAGATGAGGACAATAGTCCGAATAATGCAAATAGTGTAATAAATTTTTGTGAATAAAAGCAAAATTTTACCAGTAATATATATATATATATATTTAATGAAAAAAAATATTACCAGTAATATATTCCTGGAATGTATAAGAAAATGTTACCAGCAATACATTTTAAAAATAAAACAATATGTTAACTATAATACATTTTTGTAAGGAAAATAAATATTAACAGCAATATATTTTTCAAAGAAATTTCACAATATTACCTGCCATATATTTTTGTAATGAGAAAGGAATTATTAACAGCAATATTTCTTTTAAGGAAAAAGAAAATATTACCTGCAACACATTTTCTTAAGAAAAGAAAATATTACTCGCATATATTTTTGTTTGAGGAAAATCAAAATATTAGCAGCTATAAATTTTTGTAAGCTGAAACCAAATATTAAAAGCGATATATTTTTTCCATGGAAAGCAAAATATACGCAGCAATACATTTTTAAAGAGGAAAGGAAATCTTACAACAAAGCATTTTCGTAAGGAAATACAAAATATTAGCATCAATAAATATTTTTTTTATGTAAAAGGAAAATATTACCAGCAATCCATTTTTGTAAGGAAAAGAAAATATTACGAGCCAGATGTTTTTGCAAGAAAAAACAAAATATTACCAGAAAAATATTTTCTTAAGGAAACAAAATATTACCAGCAATATACTTTGTAAGATAATAAGAAAATAAGATAATATTACAAGCAATATACTTATGTCAGAAAAAAAAGAAAATATTATCATATTTTTTAAAAGCAAAGGAAATACTACAGCAAAATATTTTTATGGGAAATACAAAATATTACTAGAAATACATTTTTTACGAAAACAATTTCTTACTAACAATATAATTTTGTGAGGAATATAAAATATCACCAGCACAATTTTTTTAAAGAAAAAGAAAAAAAAATACCAGTAATACATTTTTTAATGAAAAAATAAAATATTACCAGTAATATATTTTAAGGAAACAGAAAATATTACCAGTAATACATTTTTGTAAGGAAAAAAATTACCAGCAATAAATTTTAGTATGGTGAAAGGAAATATTACTATCAATACATTTATGTAAAGTCAAAGGAAACTATTACCAGCAAGATAGTTTTGTAAGAAAAAATAAAATATTAACAGCATTACATATTTGTAAGGTAAAAAGAAAACATTATCAGCCATATTTTTTTTCTAACATATTTTGTTTCATTAAGAAAATTATTTGCTCATAATATTTACAAGGTAACAGAAAATATTACGAGCCATTAATTTACTTAATGAAACAAAATATTAACAGCAATAAATTTTTGTAAGAAAAAAGAAGATATTGCCATCAATACATTTTTTTAGGTTACAGAAAATATTACGAGCAAATAAATTTCTTAATGAAACAAAATATTAACAGCAATATAGTTTTGTGAGGAAAAAGGCAAATATTACTAGCAATACATTTTTTTTGATAAAAGAAAATATTACGAGCAAATAATTTTCTTAATGAAAGAAAATATTAACAGCAATATATTTTTGTAAGAAAAAAAGCAGATATTACCAGCAATACATTTATTTTAGGTAAAAGAAAATACAGAAAATGCATTTTGTACAGAAAAACATATATTACCAGCAATACATTTTTGTAAGGAAAAAAATTTACAAGTATTAATTTTTTGTAATTAAGTACAATATTTTACCAGCAATATATTTTTGTAAGGAAAAAGAAAATTTTAGCAGCAATAGTTTTTTTGTAAGGAAAGACTAAATATTATAATCAATACATTTTCTTAAAAAAACGAATATATTTTTGTGTAAGGAAAAATATTACGGAAAAGCCAAACATTAACAGCAATTGTTTTTTGTAAAAAAACAAATATTACCAGCTATACATTTTTGTAAGGAAATTTCAAAATATTACCTCCAATATATTTTGGTAAGGAAAACGAAAATATTACTAGTAATACTTTTTATAATGAAAAACATATTATCAGAAGTACATTTTGTAAGGAAAAAATTTATTACCTTTAATAAATTTATGTGAGGAAAAGCAACATAGTACTAGGAATATATTTTTGTAACGAAAAACAAAATATTAGCAGTAATATATTTTTGTAAAAAGTAAATATATTACCAGCAATACATTTTTCAAGGCAAAAAATATTACCAGCAATATATTTTTAAGGTGAAAGAAAATGTAATATATATATATATATATATATATATATATATATATATATATATATATATATATATTATTTAAGCATTTCACCCCTAGCAAGGCAGGAAGCCACTAGCACGCAAAAGGATTTGGAGCGTGAGCAGGTAGGAATGATAGACGAAAGGATGAGGAGAAGAATAGTGGATAGAGCAAGGCAACTGGAGATGTCGATTGACATTACGTTTGAATAGTTGGAGATTATAGCTATCAGGGAAACGGGAATAGGGAAGGGAGTTCCACAGGCGAGAGGTGCGAGATATGAAGCTACTGGAATAGAAGAAGCGGCTAAATTTAACAGTTTCAACAGTAAAAGGGTGAGAGCGGCATACCAACCTCGTAGGACGCTTGAATTCGCGAAATCTGGGAACCAGCGAAAGTAGCTCATCGGAGCAATTACCATGAAAGTATTTGTAAAAAAAGACAGAGAGAGGCGACGGCACGTCTGTGAGAGAGCGACTGCAGACGAGATACCAGATCGGGGCCTATTATATTGCATATCCGTTTCTGGATCTTATCAAGAACCCCGAGGCAAACACTAGGGTTTCCAGACCATATGATGGCAGTAATACTCCATGTAAGGGCGAATGGTTGATTTGTAGATTTGAAGGATCGATTCCGGGGAGAAAAATCGATCATTCAAATCTACAAATCGACCATTCGCCCTTGCATAGATAGATAGTAATATATTTTTGTAAGGAAAAACACAATATTACGAGCAATAATCTTCTTATGGAAAAGATAAATATTACCACCAGCACATGTTTGTAAGGAAAAAGAAAATATTACCAGCAATACATTTTTGTCAGGAAAAAAAAAATTACCAGCAATATATTTTTGCATTGAAAAACAAAGAATTACCAGCAATGCATCTTTGTAAGAAAAACGAAATATTAGCAGCAAAATATTTCTGCAAGGAGGAAGAAGATATTACTTGCTATACATTTTTTTTAAAGGAAAAACATGCCCCGGACAAATGAAATTAAATAGATTTCATGTTGAATAATAATAGATTTGTTTGTCAAAATTCGAAAAAAGATATTCAAAGGGTTGTAGATTTTATAACAAATTTCCCAAAGCAATGTGCGCATCACCTGTAACAAGGCACATGTCATGTCGGTAGTCCAGCTCCTGCCAAACACGCTGTAGTATCCCTTGCGTAACATTCTCCAGCGCCTGAGCGATTCCTCTATGTTTGTACGACGTGTGAATTATATAAATGTTCTTTCACATAGCCCTATAGAAAATATCACAAGTATCCCATGTCAGGTGAATGTGATCCCATTTGAAAAGTACATTGTCAGTATCACTGGTACGCCTGATCCATCTTTCGGGAAACTCTCATTCAGATAAGTCCACATCGGTTTTAAACATTTTTAATTTAAGATAACTGAAGTGATAATTGGTTATGGTATTAGACTATAAACGGATGTCAATTTCTTTCAGCGCCATCTATCTATCTATCTATCTATCTATCTATCTATCTATCTATCTATCTATCTATCTATCTATCTCCCCCCCTCCTCTCATATTCGTGGACAGGCTTCGTAGTATCCTTATTAAAGGAACAGAGAAAATTATTATATATTATTCAATTATTCTTAGTACTTTTCACATTAGCACAATGTCATCATCAGAGTTGTGTTGTTTTTTCTAGGACAAAATCCTTGTGTTTATCTGAAAGTTAAATTTTTAACTGTGATGTGAAAAACATTAATTTTATGTACTTATTTAAAATTTCTGGATGTTAACGTCAGGGGAGTAACTAGGTTTCGAATGTCCATATGTTTTGTTTATTTTTTTTTTAAATATAAATACAATTATTTTGTCTTAGAAAAAAAAACCATCATTCTGATGATGACATTGTGCTAATGTCGAAAGTACTCGGAATAATTAATATGTATCAAATTTTGTATCTTCGTTTAATAAAGATGCTAAGAACTTTGTCCGTGAATATATATATATATATATATATATATATATATATATTTATATTGGATTGATTGATGAGAGTTTGTGACCCTGCGTTTCACGCTTTTGCGATCACATCAATCCAACCAAATATGTTAGCTCTATATCTGATATTGAGCGATTTCTAATAAGTACCGAGCATATAATATATAAATAATTATATATATATATATATATATATACACACTTTTCACACACACACACACACACACACACACACACACACACACACACACACACACACACACACACATACACATATATATATATATATATATATATATATATATATATATATATATATATATATGTGTGTGTGTGTATATATATAATTTAATTTAAAGAAAAACAGATCACTTTGAGGCTCCATTTGTTATAATTTATTTCACCAGAGAATTTTATTTTTCTCTGGATCTTCAGACTTCACTTTCAAAGGTGAAACGAAAAATGAATTTAAAATTTACACCTTTGACGGGCAGTAGTGTGAGAGACATGGTCAAATTTAGTGAGGGAAGTTAGCGTTTTAAAATTTATTTTTATTCCTATTAATTATTACTATACTTAATATTCAGAAAGGATGTGTAAGGATCAGACATTGACCTATTTAATCGGTCACCTCAACGGAAATGATATGGGAAAAAGGGAAAAAAGGGAACGAAAGGGGAAAAGAAAAAAATGGGGAATAAAGGGATAAGATATAAGATATGTACGTAGGGTTTTGGGGGCAAGAGGAGGGGCGATATAGCTTTAGCAATTTAGATAAACACAGATTTTAACGTTTGATAGTAATATAATGGAATATGCATACACCTGAGTCCCCCCTCACTGGAATGTGATTGGCTGGTGTCCGTCATGAATACAGACGGACGTGTAGGTACGACAGAGTTTAAGACTATAACGACGCCCATTGGACTACGCTATTGATCTACATTTCTTACCTGCGACTACGACGCGTACCAGTCAATTACTGCTACCGTATTCTACTTGGTTATAGTAGCCAAAACCATTTAGCTACTTCGTTCAAATATATCCCTTTCCAGGACATATCAGATAGTAATTTAAATTTTTTAAAAACTCCACAAAGAAATTAATTTAATGCTTGTTAGCAATTTAGATATACAGCTTCTCCACAAATAACTTAGGGATTTAATATAAGCTGAATATTATATTAATAAACAAAAATAAGAAATAAAAATTTACTAATAGTAATATTTTAATATTGCGAATGACTGTTAAGGTAAAATCTTTATCAGTGAGAGTCTAATTCATGAATTTAATTTGTAGCTATTTTAAGGTGGGTAATATTTCTTAATTAAAGTTTAGGTTTCAAATCAAGATGGACTAAGATTTGAAGGTAATAGTATAAAACTTTTATTGTTTTTTTCAATGAAAATTTTGGTAATCCGTTGAAAAATTAAAACGCTTAAATTGCTATCAAACGTTAACGGAAAAATATATATAAATCTGAGATTTTCCAAATTAGCCGCAATATGCCCACATACATTAATTCTCTTAATTTCCCTTTCCAAATCTCTATTCCCCTTTCTTTCTTACATCTTATCTTCTTTTCTCTCTATATTACTTCCTGTGAGAATCAATATCTGGTCCTTACCCACTTCTTTACTATTAAGTATTGTAATAAAAATAAATTTAAAATCATTCCTATCTCTCTCTCTTGCCTCTCTAATTTCGACCATGTCTGTTACACTCTCTCTCCCCACTATCTATAACACCTCACATCAATTTAAAATTACCCCTCAAATGTGTATAAAAATATATGTAAATTTAAGGGCACATGGCACAGTGGATAAAGACGTTAGTTAGATACAGTGATAAGACGCAAAAAGTGTGAGTTCAATAACTGGTTAAGGCTGTGGAGAACTTAGAGAGGGGAATTAACAGGAGATAACTGACATCCATTAGACATGGAACTAGAACAGTCTACCTCAGTGAGCGAAATAAAGGGTTCAGTTCGGCATTCCAACCACCTGAAGAAGGCCAGAGCGCGCAGCAGCCGAAACTTTGTGATAAACATGGCTACAAAGATGAGGACAATAGTCTGAATAATGTAAAGTGTACATAATACCTTATCTCAGAAATATAGACAGATAATGTAAATTTAAATTCATTTTTTCACCCTTTTGCGTGTGGTCGGATGAGCCAGGGAAAAAGAATTCCCTGGTGAAATAAATTATAACCAATGAAACCTTAAAATCTGTTTTCATTGAATTTAGGCCTAAACAGTAATATTCCATGGTCATAATTTATTCCATTGGAATCGTAAATACGATCCAATTCATCAGACCTACAAATTCAAAAAGAAATCAGAAAAACAATTCCGGGAATAAAAAAAATACAATTAAGTGAGAGTGTATGTATGAGAGTGTGGGACGAATGTTAGAGTAAATGAAAGCTATAGGGAGGGGTAACATACGAGAGAAGAACTGGAATGTCTAAAGATGAAGGGGGGTTTAAAATTTAAAAGAGAGAAGTTTTGAGGAGAGTCAAAGACGGTTTAAGTGAGAGAAATATGAATATTCTCGGATGTATGTGTATGTATGCATATATATTTAGATATATTAGATATATGATTGCATATGTATGTGTATATTTACCACTAATATTATATATATATATATATATATATATATATATATATATATATATATATATATATATATATATATAAACTTGACTCTATTCTCGTTTTCGACATATGAGGGTGCAGCAACTCTGTTCGTAGAACCGATCAACCAGTACTATCAAAACACATGATGTGTTTATAGCGGTGAAGGCTTTTGCAGAAGCACCACATTTTTTGAAAGAGCGAAATGCAAAGAATTGTTACATGTAGTGTGGCCAAAGACCCTGCAACAACCCTGTTCAGGTTTGGAATTCAGAATTGTACTTCTCCTAGACCGGTTGCCACTCAAGGCTAAAACACCCATTTTGTTCGGCTATTTTAATTCTTGAACAATAAAACTAGCAAATAAAAACGGAAATACTTCATGAATCAAATTAATAAAATCAAATCTAAATGAACCAGTTAGAACTAAAATATCGAGAGAACTCCTCTATATATCGATATATCTACCCAAAGATTGATCAATTCGTCATGTATCTATATATCATCGATTTGAGAATTTCTAAAATCACAACGTAATGTTTAACGTTTCACAACATACTTTTGAGAATAGCTGTTCAACTGAATGCGTCATTATAAGCTAACAATCCTGCGACCAGCAAATTATCTATTGCAATCGTCTGCTTCACCAACCCGCTTCTTTTCATCAAACCTACAGAAGACTTTCAGCATGTGGAGTCGAATTTCGAAGATTTATTTGTAACTTGAAACGACTGTAATAGCGAAAAGAACGGCTTTAATGACTTTGATGCAAAGACGGGATCATTTTGAACTGCCATTTTAATTTGATCCTTTCAGCCTCGTTTTGGCGAAACTTGGTAAAGATATCTCTTAATACGTCCAGCATCCTTTTGTCTGCTATGTTTGAAAGTTTGACATATTCTCTCATCTTTTGATTCGTTCGCATCCTTTTGCTTTACTTCGTATTCTTGCTGTCGCTTATTTTCTTCTTCTTCTTCTTCTTCTTCTTCTTCTTCTTCTTCTTCTTCTTCTGCTGCTGCTGCTGCTGCTGCTACTGCTTCTGCTGCTGCTATTGCAACTATTATGCCTCCATGTTATTTCTTCTTATTTTTATTCTTTTCTTGGATTTAGTCCTTTTAATCATCGTCATTATTATTATTATTATTTTTATTTTCTTTGATTTCTGGCGTTTACATATTTCTTTCCGGGTCCCGCCCAGAGACCTAAGGTTAGAAATGGCATCATAATACTTTCCACTTACAAAAAAAAAAAAATTTTAATTACATAGATAAAGCCCTTCGTAATGTGTGGGCTGTACTTGTCAGAACAATTTTTTGTATCTCCTTGAGGCATGGATTTCCAGGAATCCCTTCAATTAGTCTACTGCAATTTTGTCCAACCAGTCCTAGGGCTCCAACTATAACAGGGATTGTTGATGTTCCCATATGCAGCATTTTTGAGATTACTATTTCAAGGTCCTTGTTTTGATAGCTTTTTGAATATCTTCAAAGGTACATTGCAGTCATCAGGGAGTGCCATATCAATAAGGAGGGACTTTGTTTTGTTTGTGGTCTTTAATAACAATATCTGAGCGGTTGGCTTTGATTGTTCTGTCAGTGTGTATTGTGTAGTCCTATAGAATTGTAACAGGCGCTATCTCCGTAACCGTGTCTGGGTGGTGTTCATACCATTTTCTTTCAGTTTCCTTCCCGTAGAAGTTGCAAATTTTTCAGTGCAGATATTGGCCCACTCTGTCATGCCGGGTTTTATATTCAGTGGGTGCCAATATCGTGCAACCTGATACAAGATGATCAATCGTTTCTGGATATTTATCACAGAATCTGCATTTTGGGATGACACAATATTTTAGTACATGTGCTTGATAATTCCTTGTTAATAACCATTGGACCTGTGCTGCAAGGATAAAACCCTCAGTTTCAGCTTTTAACCCTGCACTACGTAGCCACTGATGGGTACTGGTTTTGTCTACGTCAGCTTGTTTGGTACGGGCAGAGTATTGGCCATGAAGCGGTTTATTTTGCCATCGCTTCTGTATGTGGTCGGTTGCATTTGTCTTTGCTGTCTTTTTTAAGTAGTTTGCAGATTCAGCCGGTGTATTGTGCTGTACTTGCATTTCTACGCCCATTTGAAACTCCATTTTGAATTTGTTGGCTTCTTTTGTTACGGAGTAAAGACGCTTACTACTTTCATGTTCCTTGACGCATACGATCAACCAGTTTCCAAATATCTTTGGAGGCCAATTGTTGTAGTTTTGTAAGACAGTTCTAGTTGAACTAATCCTCTGCCTCCTTCGGATCTGGGTACATACAGGCGATCAACATCAGCTTTAGGATGATGCATGCGATAGCAAGTGAGAAGCTTTCTCGTTTTGGCGTCCATTCGCTTAATTTCAGCTATGGTCCAGTTAAGGACATTAAAGCTGTATTGCACCACAGGGACAGCCAATGTGTTTATGGCTGATATCCTGTTTTTTAAAATTTAGTTCGGTATTTAGTACCAGACGTACATACCTGTAGTACACCTTGCTTATTTTTTTCCTTATTATTATTATTATTATTATTAATTTCTTTTATTTCTGTTGTATACACATTTCCTTCCGGCTCCCAAACATTGATCTAAAGTCAGAAATGGCTCCATGGAATTTTCCAATTGTCATTTTTCTATAAATAAACCCCTAAGACATTTTTCATAGATAAAACTGTTCATAATGTATGAGCTGTACTTGTAAGCTGTATTAAACTTACAGCAACCGCCGTCTGTCTAACTCTGTGCATTAGCAGGGAGGAACCCGGACGAAGCTTTGCCGAAGGGTAAGGTTTCGTCCGGGGAGGTTGACAGCTCTCTAACCCGCCTATGCGGGTTCGAAGGCTATATTTTTGGCCAGACCTACGGGTCCGGATGACGCACATTAAACTCTACCTTGTGCCACATGCTACCCCACGTGGCGGGGACAACTAAATATAGCTGTACTTGTGAGTATTTTTTTTTTATTTCTTTAAGGCATGGGCTACCAGGAACCCCTTCAATGAGTCTATGGGAACCTTTCCCAATTAATCCGAGGGCTCCAACTGCAAATGGAATTTATGATTTCCTCATATGTCACATTTCTTTAGATTTCCACTTCACGATCCTTGAATTATAATATTTGTTTTAGTCTTTTGAAGATCTTCAAAGATACATCAATGTCTGCAGGCACATTCTTTTTTTTTGTGTTCTTTCTTAACGATGTCTAGGCGATTCTTTTGTCTATATCAATTGTAAAATCCCATATCAATTCTTATAGGTCCTATGTCTATAACCGGCTCATGATGATGTTAATTACCAGTTTCTTGCAGTTTCCTTCTCATAAACGTTTCATATTTTCGAGTGCAAATATTGGCCCACACTGTCGTGTAGTGTTTTATATTCAGTGAGTGCCAATACCACGCAAGATGGTACAAGATGGTCAATTGTTTCTGGATATTTATCAGAGTATCTGCATTTAGGGTTAACACAATGTTTCCATATGTATTCATTGTAATTTCTATTTAGCTAGCATTGGTCCTGTGCAGCAAGAATAAAACCTTTCGTTTCAGTTTTTAACTCTGAACTACGTAGCCACAGATGAATACAGGGTTTGTCTGAATCAGCTTGTTTGGTACGGGGAGAGTATTGAGCACGAATAGGCTTATCTTGCCATCGTTTTTGCATTTGGTATATTGCATTTGCTTTCATTTTAGTTTCTTTGTCGCTGCAGTAGGTCTATAGAGGTTTATTTGCATTTCTTACCCATTTATACTTTATTTTTGTATTTCTTGGTTTCCTTTTTACTGAATAAATTTTCTTATTTCTTTTTCTTCTTCTTCTTATTTTCTTTTTTACTCTTTATTTTACACACTTTCTTTTCTTAGACTTGATTTCATTTTTTGATGTTGCACTTCTTATATTTCGTTTCGCACCCCGCATTCTTTTACTTTTCTTCTTCTTCTTCTTCTTCTTCTTCTTATTATTATTATTATTATTATTGTTGTTGTTGTTGTTGTTGTTGTTGTTGCTATTATTATTTATTTATTTATTTGCCTTTAACTACATTTATTCTTGTTTTCTGTTTGTGTTCCATCTTCTGCTTCTTCCATTTTCTTTCGTGCACTATCTCCTCCTCTTTTTCTTTCCACTCCTCTTTCTGTTTCTTCTTCTTCTTCTTCTTCTTCTCATTATTATTATTATTATTATTATTATTATTATTACTAATTAGTTTTTTTTTTGTTTTTCTTTTTTAACAGTTTTCTGATGTTGTTGTAGCTCTTTTAATTTTTCCTTCCGTTCGTTCTCACCTTCTTCCTTTCCTTCTTCCTCTCTGTCTTCTTCTTCGCGTTCTTCTTCTTCGCATTCTTATTATAATTAATTAATCTATTTCTCCTCAGCTTCCTTTACACTTCTCCTACATTTTCTTTCTTTACTTCTACCACAACGCTTCATCGTCATCATCGTCATCATCATCATCTTCTTCTTCTTCTTCTTCTTCTTGAATTTCTTCAAACTCGTTTCCTTCTACCTTTTCCTTTCGTTTTATTCTCCCATTTTACCCTCCTCGCCTTCGATTTCTTCTTCTTCTTCTTCTTCTTCTTCTTCTTCTTCTTCTTCTTCTTCTTCTTCTTCAGATTCGTCATTGACCTTTTTCTTACATTCTTTCATTTAGCATTTCATTTTCTTATCATCATCATCATCATCATCATCATCATCTTATTATTATTATTATTATTATTATTATTATTATTACTATTGTTGTTATTACTAATTAGTGTATTTGTTTTTCTTTTTTAACAGTTTTCTGATGTTGTAGCTCTTCTAATTTTTCCTTTCGATCGTTCTCACCTTCTTCCTCTTCTTCTTCTTCCTCTTTGTCTTCTTCTTCGTCTTCCGCTTCTTCTTCTTCTTCTTTTTCTTCATCACATTATTATTATTATTATTATTATTATTCTATTTCTTCTCAGCTTCCTTTACTCTTCTCCTTCATTTTCTTTCCTTACTTCTACCACAATGCATCATCACCTTCTTCTTCTTCTTCTTCTTCTTCTTCTTCTTCTTCTTCTTCTTCTTCTTCTTCTTCTCATTATTATTATTATTATTATTATTATTATTATTATTATTATTTCTTTCTATTTTTTTTTCAGTCTCTTTCATACTCTGATCCTGTGCTAAAACCCAATCTCATACTCTCCGTCCTTTCCATTCCACCACCGTTCTTTAAACTGACCACCAATTATTTGGTATTGTTTGATTGTTCTTTTCACGGGCTAGAAACTTATGCTCGTCTTGAAAATCCCCGCCAATATCACAAAGCTTCGGTTTGCCAATGTTCCCAGCGACTTCGGAGCCGGCCATTCTTTTCTTGTCCCTGACGTTCACGATCACTTTTCATAATCTCCCTGTCCGTGTAATTGGAGTCCAGGATCAATGGAAGAAGGGGTTCTAATTTGAGTTCATCCTAAATAGGGATGGGCAGTGGGTGATGAGGCTAGAAATAATGACTGGTCAGGACGGTTAAGACGAGAAAATGAAAAGAGAAAATAAGAATAAACGTACAATGTCGCTGGGTATTAAGGATTTGTCCAATTAATTAAGGATCAAGACAGCCTGTGCAGGGATATTATCAAATGATTTGAGCTCGTTTTTACGACGCGATTGAACGAAAGAGATGCCGAATTTTAAATGATCAAAGTTAACTCAGACAAAACGACAGATATGACTAAATTAAAGAAATTTTATTCATTGGTTTGTACGTTACACTTTATTTGGAATAAAAGCCATTTTTTTTGCGGCGATTGCTTAATCATCAGAATGAAAATTGTTCTTTAATCTCCTCTTTATATGCCAATGCTCCTCAGGACACAGACGGTTATGGCTCTCCACAACTTCCTCTTGCTTGTACCTCTAAATAAATTTTGTCTTTCTGTTATTTTTCCTAAACCCTGTTCTACCAACTGTTCATTCCAGCAGTGAGTATGCCAAGTTTTTGTGATTAAATGCAAAAGTGTATACACTTACGGCCAAATCACGTTGAAACACCAGTTCTCGTAAGATCTTCAAAATGAGGCAACGTTGAACTTGGTTTGAACCCTGCTTTATATGCAGATTGGGAATACATGTTGCTTTTGAGCTAGGACGTGCAATGTAATGGCTCAAAAGTTGAACATTGTTTTAATTCTAATTTAATCCCATTAGCCCTTTGTGCTTTAATAACATTATCGCCTTGCTGAACTGATTAAAAAAATTATATATATATATATATATATATATATATATATATATATATATATTATGTGTGTATATAGGCAGCATTTTTACATTCATACATGTTTCATTAAATAATATAGACAAGTGTTGTCTATTTATTTTATGTAAATTCTATTCATAACGTCTGAAAAGCTTAATAACATTATCATTAAACGAAGAAAGAAAATCACAATATTGATACATATATTTTAATCCAATCTAAGCTTTTGGCTTACATAAGCCATTATCAAAGATGACAATTACAGTGCAATATATTATGCAATACACGGACAAGAAAGTAATGATAATCTGTTTTTGTTTACATAGATGTTTTCCAAGCAACGATAAACACGTGCATATAAGACGCTGGAAGCGAAAATCGA